ATCTGTCTTATAGTGGTAGTCACAAGGGAACCTGCCTAAACTCTTAAATCCGTTGAGGGTTAGACTTAGCTTAGCTAAGCACAACCCCAGGCTACTCTTGTTTTAGAAATGATTGTAAGGAAGAGAAATCAATACCTTGCACTACAGAAGGCAGAAATCTTAGATTGTCACAACTCCCCACTTGGTAAAAAGCTTGAGGTGGAAATAGTCCCCTCTACAGACAAGACAGACATAAGACCAAATACAGCATTGGCACATGCGATTGCATCACAAACGCCTGCTGATGCTGGTAACTAACTTGGCACCAGTTTCTCTAATCAGATCTTTGTTCAAAATAATTGGCCATGATTTGTTGATCATTGTTACTGAAAATGGGCAAAGGCAAAAACTTGCTTAAAGAACATTAAAGAAGCTTGAAATAGAAGTTGTCTGGGTCAGTTACTAAAGCTAGCAACTTTTCTGAAATTAGGTAAAAGCTTCATGTCCCAGAATATCTTTACCCCCTTCTTCGTGCAACAGATTACAGGACTTGGATCTGTCTGTCATTTGTGAGCTTTGATGCCACATTGAGCAACAGAGTCTCAAGGACAAAGGAGATATAAGATAACCGCACGTACTATTATGCTGTCTGTCCAGGTGTAACAGTCTTAGATGAGCACAGCTATCAGTACACTCTTCAACTTTACTGAATGGAGATGTTTTTAATCGAGTCAAAGACTGGTTTTGTTAGGAGGGTGGTTCTGGAAAATATGAAAGATCCTGTTTTTCGTGTCAGTTACCACTGCTAATTCCAATCAGTATTTATCTCCTAATGAGACACTCAGTTTACTCTGTAAGTCCAAAGTCAGTACACACCTTTCTTAAACCTTGCTTATCCCAAAGCTCACCACAAGCTAATGGATGTAAGCTTTGCAAACTCAAACTGTTAATGAATATTTAAAACATGCTGCACCCCATAAAAATTTGCCCCAAAAATTCAGAATGTTCCTGTTTCTGTGGGTTTCCCTGCGGCTAAAGGTTCAATTACGCTAGGCCACCAATAAGACTGGAAGTGTATCTCTTGGGACCATAGTCATCTGCAGTTGAGTTACAGGAAAGCTCAAGGCACAGTGACTCTCATTGTTAAGTTAGAAATTCTTAATAATCAATAATCAATTATCTGAATGTTGTTTCACAGATCTGTGGATTGACAATGAGGTAAAATTGGCCCGGGGTAAGCAGCTTTTCTAAAGGAGGAACAGCTCTGGTTTAGATTTCTTCAGACAGAATAGTTCCTACTATCCTTCCAGTCCACTGGATACTTAAGAATGCACAGTATATGCCGTATCTCTCTTTTTCTCTCTGATATATATATATACACACACACACACACACACACAAATTTGTATATATATCTACCCACTTTCCTAGATTGTGGGAAAAGCTTTTGTCTGCTGGAATGTCAAGTCAAATAGAATACCTTAATAAAATGCACTCGCAATTAAAAATCCTTGCACACAGCAGTTGTTTTGCTACGGTGGGACTCTACTGTGCCAATAAATGACTAAAGACTGTGTTGCCATCAAAGTGTTTATGTCTTAAGAAATAATTGTGTAACTCTTATCTCTTTTCAGTGTGTAAAAATGATTCCTTGTAAAAAGCAAGAAGGCCCGTGATCTAAAGATTATTACTTTGCTATCTTCCTGCTCTGCTAATAGTACAGAACAGTTAATTCCCTGTCTCCATAAAAAAACTAAAGCAAAATGTTGCTGCTAGGGCACGTGTCCCTCTTAGGTGTAGCTTTTACCAGCTGCGTAAAGGACTGTGCAAATGATCCAACTACTCTAAACATTCAGTATTTTCAGCTGCCAAACCTACTAATTGTGTAGTGTTTATGAGCTAATCTAAAACAACACTTCCCTTACTGTAGGAATGAAACTAGAAATTGAGAAGAGTGAAGGCTGGAATCATTCCACCTGAGCCCTTGCTGCTGGGGACTAAAATAAATGTCACTTAGCCCAACAATTAGTGTCTTTTCAACTTCCAAGGAATATTTCATTTTATGCTAAAAGAGAGAGGAAGAGAAGTTACAGTCATGGAATTGTAGAGCAATGTGGATTTGAGCATAAGTAGTTTAGGGAGATTTTGTATCCGGTATATTTTCTTTCCCACTCTTTTTTTTTTTTTTTTTTTTTTTTTTTTTTTTTTGGTTTGTTTGCCCTGGTTTTGGAAGCAGTACAGAGAAGACAGTATTTTCTGGAAAGAAGGACCATGGAATTCACTTATTTGCTGCTCCTCCCATCCCCCAGCCCTCTTCTTTAAAGTAAATTCCATGGCAAATTAGAAATTATATGTGGATTCCAGTATTTTTGTAAGTCCAAATGAAACTTGGTGGCATGCTAAACTTCAGAGGAGCTTAAGTCAGAGACAAACAAGATTTGAAAAACACAAGCCAGCACACCTGTGAATTTACTAGCGCACCATGATCTGTCTGCTCTTGTCCTCTTCTTATCTTGAATTTAGCTTTACAAAATTTAATTTACATGAACTGCGTGGAAGCCAAGATGTAAAGGGGTTTTTTTCAAGAGTACTAAATTGAAGAAAAAAACTATTCAAGCAACATTAAAGGCATAAAATTAAACATCACAAGAGCTTAAAGCTTAGTTTGTATGGTTTTATAGAAGAGTAGTGCAGAATTTGGGACAATACTTTTCATATATTTTTTAATAGTAAGGTCCATGGAAAGAAGACAGACTGAAATACTTTGTTAGGCTGTACAAAGTCAGCATTATTTCACATTTCTGTGTTTGCTGCCTTTGTATTGATGGTAAGGTAAATCATTTTAATAAGAATTCCAAATATTTATTAACACTGTGTGTGTATATGCACTGACATCAGGCAGTAACTGGGCAGATGTCATTGTGTGTGTTAGTTACAGCATTTACATGATGACTATTCACCTAAAATGTCATGAGAATGTAATATATATAAAATAAGGAAAGCTGCATTAGATGTACACAGAGTGTAAATGTTAGTTCTTGGCAAAGAGGCACACTTTGGGGGGGGGGGGGGGGGACATTTTCCCACTCGGGGTGGGGGGAGAAGTTAGTCCCCTAATCTCTGAAATGCTAATGTAGGTCAATTAGAATTTTTATTACTATTGCAACAGGACTTACACTGCTTTTTAATAGCTCCGGAATTACAAATCAGTGAATCATTACTGGTGAGAGGAAAAAATACAAAGCTGTCTCAACTTGTGGGATTGTCATGTAGTGAAACCAAACTGACATTTTCCATGGATTTTTTTTTTCTTATGATAGTCATAATGTAAAAGTTGTATGCAAAATGTTTCCATTGTAATGTGCCAAGTAATAAAGCCAGCAGTCACAAAGCTTATCCTGGAAATTTCATTAGATCTATTACATCCAAAAATAGAATTATTTATAAATTGCAAAATATTTATAAATAACAATGTTCAGTTCTGTTCATCACTTGAAAACCCTGCCTAATTTTGGGGGTACTTTGCGATATGAGCTCTTTTTAATAAAACAGAAAGCAAATTCAAATAAAAGTATTATTCCAAGAGTTTTCTAACACAATTTCACTGTAAGTTCCTGAGCTACTGAGTGGGATAAATCAAAACTAATAAATCTGAAGATCTAACTGAGGACATTTAAAGTGGAATTTACCATTAGAATTAGAGCTTGATTTTATTAAGAGTGCTGTGCATGTTATATGTGATATTTCCAACCAGTTATCAGGTTGAGGCAAGCATTGCTAATACTGCTGACAAGTTATGCCATTAAAGATGGGCTGTGCTTCTTATTGCATGCATTACACTGACACTATACTTTCTTTCCTTTCCTTTTCTCCTGTGCCATGCTTGCTGTGTAGCAAATGGAATCTCTTGCAGTAAGTTGAAGTTCTTTCATATTCTTTGTCCATCTGTAGATGGACTAATACACTCCAATTTTACTGTTTTACTTCTAAGCATGTTTTCTTTTTTTGTTATAATTTTCCTCTAGAATACGTGGTTCTACATGCAGTAACTAAAATAATTTACTAAAGTGTGTTTTGTGAAATCTAAAAATACTGTGCCAAAATTCTGACACCTTCATATGCTGTTTTAAGTGCTCATTTACATAATTTTTTTTAAAAACAAGTCTTTGAATGGATATAATATGCTGGAGTGGAAGATAAAATTTTTTGTTATTTTTCAAATTCATAATTTTCAGTTTGTCTTAATGAAACACTACAATTTATAGTTGTCGTGTTTAAAATTGTTTTTGTTTACATGTTGATGAATGGTTTCACCATGATTTGTTTCTAATACTTATTCAGGAAGAGCAAAAAATTGAGTTGCTTGATATGGCAACTAAATACTGAGTGAGTCAAACTCAAGTCTTCAATTTGACGTTAGTTTGTCTTCATTCAGGTTAGCAGCCAGAAGGGTGAAACCAAATTATTGTTCTCCTTTAATTATGTTATGCTATGTCCTGGTTTTCGATTAATTTTTAACTCCCTGACAACTTCAAGTATATGTGTGTTTAACTGCTTCGTCATAGTGTTGCCATTCAAGAGTGAATTTGATCCCTACCAGAGAACCTCGGGCTGTGTCCCTGCTAGAGAAGTAAAAACGGGAGCAGGGAGCAAGCGTGCGCCCCGGGCTGGCGTTAGGGGTGAACATTCGCACTTTCCCTGGCTGGGGCACTAGCCAGCCCCTGACGTGCCTGGGCACGGTTTGAGAGGAGCCAGAAGCCAGAGCCATTCCCAGAAGGTTGTATCTGAACAGTCACTCCTTATTTTGGGCGGAGAAAGGTTTGCCATGCAGATGCAAGCTTAGCAGCGCTCGGTGGCCTCAGTTACAGAGAATGGCCTCTGGACAGATGTGTTTAACAGGCAGCGTCCCTCGTGCCCCACCTCTTCATTCTCTTGGCCACCGATAGGCTTTTCCCTGCCCACGGGTCAGTTCTGTCCTAGCAGGTCACACATCGTTCCCTCCCTTTTTTCCCCACCATGGATCTCCTGGGCCTTCTCAGCTCCTGTGGCTCTTTGCTGTCCTGTCAGGTCTGGTGGGATTCCTCCCTTCCATTGGGGAGGGAACACTCTGACCCTACTCACATTAAACATATCAGACACCAGAAACAGTTTAGCCACAACAGCACAGAGCTCCAACCAGGCGAATTTACAGTGCTGACCTCTGCTGCTGTGGCAGACCAACACTGAGGTCTGCCTGGCCTTCGGCAGAATGAACCCTGCCAGGCTGGTACCCGCTGGCTTGGCACCTTCCTTCATAAACTTCCTCCAGAAGGAGCCCAGCTCCGCCTGGTTATGGCAGTGCCCTTGGGTGACTGTTCCACCCTTCCCTTTTGACCTCAGCCCCCCAGCCTTGTCTGGCTGGTACAGAGATTTGGGGAACTGGAATGCTAAGGATACAGTTCTAATTTGGCTTATTAATAAAAACCCTGGTGCTTATATATTGAAGCATATGTAAACAAACACTTCAGTCAAATTAATGCTTATGTTTTTAAAGTACTTTTTATTAGTATTTGTGCTGGCATTTGCACAGACCCCAACTCAGCAAATAGCTGAAGTACATGCTGGTAGCTCAGCGTTGTATGGAGTGCTTTAAGGAAGCAAAATCATTAATAGCATCTTCTTTTCTGCCACGTTTGGCATAAAACTGCTCTAGTTCCTCCAAGGAGATGGAAAGATGACTGAGCCCACCCTTGCTCACTGTGTCTGTAAGAGAGGACAAATCAAATAGAGTTTGCAGTCTGTAAGGCCTTCCTGCCAACACGTCAGGAGGCCTGACTGGCACTTGCAGAATTTTCACTTCTTCCATAATTTGCCAAAGATTAAATATTCCTCCCTTCCTCACCATGATCCAGCTGTAGAACTATGAGATTCCCCCTCCTGATAGACACATGGATACCAGGACCACGACCACAGCAACTTGACTTTGCTGGCAGACGTGCCCATCGCATGTTACGCCCATGTGTCTGACACCTTGTGTGTGGTGCTGTGCATTACACTGGAAGAAACAATATTCATAGAACAGTATCTACTTAATCCAGGAGAATAAACTGTAGAAGCCAGATGTCCTGTTACACGTGAAACTCTGTCCATCTGTTGTATGGTTTCTTTAAGGTGGTGGAAAATCCATGAGCTGAGGTTTAAGTTGCAGAGCTGGCATTTCCATTTATTGCCTCTTCCTCTCCCCTCAGAGAAGCAGGCAGGAGTTTTGAGCCTCTTGAACAACTACTTCATTGCTTCTCTCTGGATTTCCATCCTCTCAGAAGAGGTCTTTGACAATTTCTGAAGTTGTAAAGAGTTTTATGTTCTACACAGCAAAGTAATTTCCCTCACACTCTGCCTCTGCTTTCCAGCTGCAAACTGGAGATGGTGAAGCTAACCTATATAAACTGCTTTGAGATTGGCGCTGACATGTGCTACATGAGAGCTAGCCATTATAATTTTGATTTTCAATGTCTTGTATGACTTACCTGCAGAAGAAAGAACGTTGCTTGTTTTCTGAAATAGTATGTGATAATACTTCAGTAAAATAATGTTTTTTGAAGAACTGAACTATCTCAATGTGTTCTATTAGTTATTGAAAATAATCCCAAATCACTGATCTTTATTAATTATTTCTTCTCCTACAAATCTTTCCTTAGCAATTGGAACTGTGTCAGAGATTATATAAACTGCATTTCCAGCTGCTGTTGCTTTTTCAGTCCTACTGTAAACTTATCGGACAAGTGCATGAAGTCAGTTCCATGCCAGAGGTATGTAACAAACTACAGAGTCTTACACTGAAAAACTTCTCTTCACCTTCTTATTTTTCTTTCCATGGTCTTGCACCAAAGATGACATGATTTCACCCCGACTATCAGGTCTGCAGACAAAACCTTTCAATACACCAGCATTAAAATATAGCCAAGATGCTGGGTTTTTTGTAATTGACTGTACTTTCAGAGACTGGGATCTTTTATACATTCAGTCTCTGAAAGTCATTTCAGTTAGTTAGTGGTAACAAACTAGAATGATACATGGAATCTTAACTTCATTCACACACTTTACCTGCAGGGAGGGCTCACACTGTGAACATCTGCAAGTGATTTATTTCTATTTTAATTGAGGCCTTAATTTTTAAGGAAAATGAGCCTTCTTCACACATACAGAAAATACCTTTTTTCTAGATCATCACTGATTTTACCAAACTTTGTGGAGACACTTAGACCAGGAGCACTTGTTAGCATGACAGTAACAAAATAATTCAGTAAATTAATCTTAACATGGATGCCAAATTAAGGGTTTTGCTGGAATAATGTATATAATTTCCAGCTATATAAACTGTCTCTGTTGCATGTGCACTATACTAGAAACATCTGCAGCAGTTTTTGACAAACGGCTGTTAAATGGTTTTGCATCCTCTCATACCTGAGCAAGCAAAGGCATGTAGTGTAGAACTACTTTATAGATTGAGTGCAAGTGTACCGCCTGATCTTGGTCTCTGGAGAAACAAATCAAAATCAATTTAATGTTTCTAAAGATAAAGCTATGTATCTTACTTTAAAAAACATTTCACAAGAACAATACTATTATTCAAGTTTCTTTTCAACAATTGCATAAAATATGTAATACTTTGAAATATCTTTGAGGTGATCACTTGAAGTAGAATGATCATCATTTAAGGAAAGATAGTAAAATAACTTGCCATTCCATATATATTTCTCCCCTGGTAAGGTGTTTATATTTTAAATTATTCAGGGGAAGAAGTTACTGTACTTTGCTTGTAGCTGTGAAACAAAATTTCAAGCTATGAAATGCATTTTATAACAGATTCTAGTAGTTTACAGATTGCCTATAAATGGAAATGGTTTGTTTTATCAGATGTGCTGTAGCAGTACAAAGAGTTTGAAAACTTATTGTATCTTAAGGAACTGTTCTGAAGGCTGGCTCGTGCTGTGACTGGGCTCTTCACTGCTAAAGACAGGACAGTAGGCACCTAGTCTTATTCTAAATTCTAGACTATTTTGTGTTCCGTATAAGAAGATTGATTTCTGTAACTGTATTTCACAGTTACAATTTTGTTAGATTGTTACAAATAATGCAGCCTACAGACCTGGGGAACAATGATGTGAGGAAAAGCTGTTTCACTATGAAATTCGCATATTTTGGTGGAGCCATAGCCTGTTATTTAAAGGAGGTTCCATTGTTAGTTCACGTGACAGTGGTATTTTTAGCATGAAAAGGTAGATTTTTAGAAATGAACGATTTATGAGCCTTGTGCCATATTAACTTTTCGGCCTGGCAAAGGGTCACACAATTCCTGTCCATCGTTAATCATATCAGATCCTGCATGTGGTTTGTAAATAAATAACATCTTTGCTAGGAGTAGTATATGTTGTCTTAAACTTTTCCACTATGATATGAAAAAAGTAGCAGGGGTGAAAAATAAAAGGTTCTTTAGGTGTGTTCTTGCATTTTAGCAAGCCAAAAATACAACACAGGGTTAAAGGAAGCACAAAGCTTAAAAATCTGTAGTTTGTGTTTTCCCTATATGGTACAGAGCAGAGAGATCAAGAAATGTCCTTGTGTTAGAATGGGGTCTTTTTCCTAATGTGTGCATCTAACGTAGTACTGAGAACAGACTTGAAATACCTACTCCCTGTGGTGCCTATGGAGAATGAAAATACCCATCTCTCATCTTTCTCCTTGGAACAGCTGTTAAATATGTCAAGAGAACTGAGTGAGTTGAAGAAAAATCTTAAGGACGCTACTGCTGCAATCGCAGCTGAGCCTCTGACAACGGAATCTGAGCCCACGTTCAATTCTACGGAAGCAGCTATTCAGTCCATGCTGGAGTGTTTGAAAAACAATGAACTTGTTAAGGCCGTCCGACAAATAAGAGAATGCAGGCAAGTTTTGCTACATGGCTCATATTAGACTTTCCTGTTACTAGAATAGCATGCATTTATTATCTTCCTAACTTTATACTAAATGTAGGGTGCTGAGTCAGCATCATTAATTTAATGTGCTTCCACAAGGTACATGGGGGCATCAATATTACTAACTTTTGCAGGGGTGTGCCACAAGTAACAATATCAAATCGGTAATACAAACATGTATGCTTGCAACAGTGAAGATGTTTCATTACATTGTGTAGGTAGGAAGTACTTCTATGAGGCTCTTGAGAATCTTTTTATGTAAAGAGCTAATTCCTTACAGGTGTATGTCACTGGCACCAGCTAACATTCAGCCCAGTTTCACTTCTTTGAATGAGTTTTCTTAAGCTTTTTTCTTTAGATAATAGGAATTGCGCTTTTATGTGATTTCTGTGCCTGATACCAGAGTCTGAGTAACAAATGAGTAGCGTAAAACAGTGAGTTGCTTTTGGCTTCTAAGCGTGTGCGAGTCAGTTCTCCTTATAGAGATCTCTATCACCTGGTTTCCATCTGTGCTAATAAACCCTTAATGATACGCACATTCTTTTCCTGTTTGATTGCAGAATTTTGTGGCCCAATGATATCTTTGGAAGTAGCTCTGACGATGAAGTCCAGACACTACTGAACATTTACTTCCGGCACCAAACCTTGGGTCAGACGGGCACCTATGCACTGGTGGGCTCCAACCAGAGCCTGACTGAAATCTGTACCAAATTAATGGAACTGAATATAGAGATCCGCGATATGATTCGCAGAGCTCAGAGTTACCGGGTCATCAATACTTTTCTTCCAGACGCCAGCATTTCCGGCACAAGTCTCTGACAGGACTCTTGTGTCCTCTTGCAAGCTGGGAGCGCTGCCCTGTTGGAGTGAGGTGGCTCAATGTCTTCTCAGCCTTACAAAGGTTTGGTCAAACTGTACTCGCTCTTGTTACATTTAGGATTTCTTCTAAAAAGATATGGGCTGAACTTCAAATGTGTAGCAATACTGTAAGGACAAAGGTAGCATAGAGCATCTGGGACAACATCCTTTGTTCTCTGTTGCACAAAAATCAGTTAGCATTTCACTGAGCAACTGCAACTCACTACTGAAGAAATGACTTCCATTGCATACCAAAGCCTACTACACTGAACAGTACTTCCTTTATAGCAAATTAATTTTAGGTTGGCAAAAGTGCAATGTTTCCTTCACAAAATAATATTTTTTGTTAAAAAAAAAGCTTGTACATTTTTTCCTTTTTTCTCTTACTTGGTTGAGTGAAAGATGGGCAGAATGAAGCTGGCCACAGAATCTCGCAAACTTGTTGGTCAAAAGCTGAGAGCCTGTGTATATGAAACAAATTGTAAATGGACTACAGTTTAGTGTACACTGTAATTTGAATATGATTACTGTATCTTAAAACAACGAGCTGCTATGAAGTACATTTCCTAATGTTACTAGGCTACTGTCTCTGAAGGTACTGGATCATATTGCAGAGGTCTGTTCTTAGGCCCCCAAGCATCATGAATGGTCTTGGTAGATTTTTTTTTTTTTTTAAAGGACCTTGGCTGCTTTTTACTAGAGGGTTGCTTTTATGAATATATTTATACTATTAAAGGATGGTTGATCTAATTTAACTCACCATTTTGTAGGAGAAAGTCCCATCACAGAGTCAAATCTTTTGAACTGTTATGCATGCATATTTTTATTTAATACAAATTTTGAGTATAAAAAGTAAAAATATTAACGTGAAATGCAAGTTCTCTTGTTTCTTTAAAGAGATGTCTTATTTTATTTGTAATGTATATATAAAAGTCATACCTGTATGTTCTTTCTTACATTTAACTGCTGTCCAGTGTTAAATGTATGCATGTAAATCTGTTGCACATCTGAGACACTTTTATTCTAACAAGTATGTAACTTATTCACTCTGTAAATACACTTACCGTTTTTGTGAAGTAACTTTGGTTGATATTTGGATCAGTACATCCATTTAACTAAAATATAAAAGTCATATATAATCACAACAGAGTATGTGCTTGTTGTGAAGATTGCGTTCTTGTCTGTATCTATACCGTTGCGGATGATATCCATGATCAGCAGCCCCCCAAGAGACATCTCTTTCATCGTTTATGGTGAAACCGTTCATTATACTGAAAGAAACCAGTGAGAAATGTAAGGATTATTTGGTCAGTCTGTAGTTACAACTCAACCAGAAAGAGTACGTTGACTAAAGCAGTTTCATAGATGAAAAAAATCCAAAACGGAGGTGAAGGTTTGTTTCTGTTAAAAACATCAGTAATGGTCCCATTTGTTCCAGTGTTGGGTTTCACTAGGTGTTTTTCTCATGCTAAAGGTAAAAGAAAAGCTGTCCAGCCTCCTGTATCAGCCTCAGCTCTGAGAATCCAGTAAAGCCCTCTCCTCTTTACCCCTTTTTCATTTTCAAAATGGTTGCACAATTTTATATGGATCTGGAAGAATACTTGATACTTGTATCAATGCATAAAATGGGTGGAATCAACTTTTACAGGTTTTCTGATTTTGCAGTCCACAAAGCTCTGCAGCACAGTTGTAGGTGCAGGACAAAATAGATGCAAGGCAAATCACACAGCTATTTTTCTGAATAAAATAATCCACAATGGTTAGCGAAGGCTTCAAATTTCAGCTATGTATTTCACTTTTGAAAACTATGCAGAACTGTAATTGTGGTGGTCTGCAAAAATTTTAGTGGTTGGTGAAAGCTGAGATCTGGTCTGTCCCTTGGCAAAATCATGGACATTTTACAGATCACAGAACTACTGGAAAATTCAGGTTGGAAGGGACCTGAGGAGGTGATCTAGTCCAATCTCCACTTTGAAGCAGGATCAGCCATGAGTTCAGACCACATTACTCAGGCCTTTATCCAGTTGGGTCTTGAAAACATCCAAGGATGGAGAGTGCACAGCCTCCCTGGACAACCTGTTCTACTTGGTTGTTCTCATGGTGGAAAAGCTTTTCCTTTATCCAGTCTGAACCTATTGTTTTTTATTTATGTATGTTGTCTTAGCCCACTACCATGAGCCACATTGAAGGGCCTGGCTCTGTCTTTCCTGAATAACCATAACCTGGCAGGCTACTGTTAGGTCCCCCTGAAGCCTTCACTTCTATTCAGACTGAATAAGCCCAGTTCCTTCAACATCTCGCAGACCAAGTGCTCCAGCCCTGTGACCAGCTTGGTGGCCTCCACTGAACTCCTTATGGTTGATCATCTTTCTCATAGAGCCCCAAACTGGATACAGCAATCTAGATGTGGTCTACCAAGCACCGAGTAAAGGGGGACAATTGCTTCCCCTGCTTCACCGGCTCTACTTCTGTTCATATAGCCCAGGATGCTATTGCCACCCTTTTCTGCCAGGACCCACCGCTGGCTCCACGCCCAGCTCGCTGCCAACCACACCCTGAGGGCACTTTGTGATGAGCTGCCCCACAGCCAGACCATCCCATCTGTGTCACTGTGAAGGGTTCTCCTGTCAGGGGTAGGAATTTCCTCTTGGCCCTGCTGAATATCACAAGGCTCCTGTTGGCCCATCTGTCCACTCAGCTGAGATCTCTCCAAAAGGCAGCACTGCCCTCAGCTGTATCAGCTGGTCCTCCCAGTTTGGTGTCACCTGCAGAGTTGACAAGTGCACTCTGTTGCCTCTTCCACATCACCAGTAAAGATGTCAAACAGGACAGGTCCCAGGACACACCACCTGCTCTACACCACTTGTTACTGTCCTGCAGGTAGAGTGCAATCTGTTGAGCAACTTCATTCAATTGGTCCTCCACTGAGCATGAAGACCTCCAGAGGTTCCTTCCAACAAAATGTATTCAGTCATTCTTCACAGATACAACAAAATCCATGATATAACCATCTAGCTTTCTTAGCATCATTTCTAAACTTCAGGTAGAATAGAAATCAATACATTCCCAGCAAAGCCCAACTGAATTTCTAAGACAACATGAACTGCTGGGAAACAATGTCCCACTGTGCTTCTACAATACTGGTACTTTAATTAGGATGCCCCTGACCGCATTCTGTCTCCATGAAAGCATACTGTTACATTTAAGCCACCTATGCTGTGGAGATACCTTACATGACCAGAAAGCAGCTGAAGCCTTTATTTGAACTGGGGGCACAGGGACTTGTTCTACCTCTCTTGGGACACATTAAGTCTAGAGAATTTGCTATTTTTGCTATTCTAACACAAAAAGGTTTTCTCTCTTCAGTTGGAAAACACGTGAAGCTTACAGTTTTCCCCTCATATTTTATCAGACATAGTCTTTGATTATCAAACTGCTGGGGGTTTTTTTGTTATAAATTTGACAAAGGCAGGGGGAAGAGACACTTGCAGATGCATTTACCCAGACTTTATGCTCCAGAACATTTATTTGCAACTTCCACAGTAGTTCAGTTTAAGTGACTGAAGGAAAAACTTGTATTGCAGTTTTAATCTTAGCATTCCCTAAAGGCATGCTAAAAACAAAACCTGTTTTCTTCAGGAAGTCAAACAGATTCTGCTTCCTTCCAGATATACCTTCCTCTTATCACAGCAAGATGGAACTAAGGGGTAACAAACTAGTGCAGACTTTTATAGAATTTTATTCACAGCATATATACAAGGACATTAAATACTTTATAAATAATACAAAAGTCTTTATCCATTATCCAATGCCAGGTCAAAAGCCTAAAGTCAAAACATTGCAAGAGACTGACAAAGTACAAAGCACAAAACAGAGGGCACAGAGATCAGACAATGTATTTGAAGCTGTAGGTGTTATCACAGGACAGCCTCTTGCCTTTGCAGCGGCCACAAAGTTCTTGGCGATGAGGTCTCTTGAGATCAATGTGTCTTTTCTTCTGAGGGCAGGAACAACGAGTCTTTGAACAGGTCTTAAAGAAGACATGTTATTAGTAGTAGATCAAAGGTGCTCACTTCATGTTAGATTGACATTTAGTATTCCTTACTCACAGCAACACATTTGGGCTCATACACTTAAGAGCTCTTGTGGTAAAAACCCTGTGAAGTTAAGCTGTAAGAGCCTTCTCACCTAGAAGCACAGAACCCTACATGTAGCTAGGCGTAACACTGTATGAATAGAAAACTGTTTGTGTAAGCCATTGGCAGGAGGAGGGAGTCCTATCCCATTACACCTTTCCCAAATAACATTTCCTAGTACTTTGATGAAAGCAAGTTCTCTTCCAGATAAAGTCAATATCTGATTCAGCAACTGTAAACTATTAGAGGACATGACAAACTCTGGCACTCTAACCAGGACACAGAAATCTGTAACTTACCTGGCACTGGATTGCTTCCACTCGATAGGGATTGAAGCCCTTTTGGCATTTGCGACAGAGCTGCTTGAAGTATACCTGAAGAAAGCAAGCTCTCAGTTACTATGGAGACTTACTCAGGGTGTTCAGTACACATACCTAAACTTGTGTCAAAACATCTGACTTGTCAGAGATTTGCTGCCATTTTTACAAGTATCAGGAACAAGAAATTACTTAACTACCTTGTTGCTTCCAGAAATGCACCACACATAAGCACTTTCCCATCTGGTCTTGCAGTCTTTACAGTGGAAATAGCCATACTTCTGCTCCAAAAACTGCAGAGAGAAAATTCACTGAGCAGCCTCCAGCACTACAAGAACACCCAGCCCAGCTCCCTCATTGCACCACCTATTTCCACAGGCTGGAAACTCCACTCCTGCAAGGGACCCAGAGCTGGCTGGGGTCTACCAACCCGGGGTGCAGACCAGGGCAGGAAGCCAGGGTGGGGATCACTGTGCCTTTTGCTGCTCAAGAGCAAATTTCTCTCCAGCCTCTTTTATGGTTCACCCCCCCGCCCAAAGGAGGCTGCACCAAGTCCCAGCCTCTCCTCATCCCCGGCGTCCCAGCGCTGCACACCTGGAAAGCAGCCCGCTGCCTGGGGGCTGCGGCCTCCTCCCTTGGTGCCTCTGCTGTCTCCTCGCTCAG